GAAAATGTTAGCCTTGCTATGGTTATGAAGTGAATCTTAGGGACATGCCTTTGCCTTCTAAGTGAAGTCTTCATCGTCTCAGATGAAGGAACCTAGATTTGGACTTAGGCGGCGAAGAGAGACCAAGGAAACTGAAGAAGAAGTAGAGGAGTACCTTTATTTTGAAAATTTAAAGAAGAATGATGGACAAATTAATTTTTTTAATCCCTCTACCGAAGAAATTTTCCCTATTTTTTGCATGCTTTTATGAATGTAATTAAAGCTCAAGTGTCAATTCTTCATTTATTTTTATTAAACTTTTATTTTCTGAATATTTTTATCCAATTAAATTGCTTTATCATTTAATTTTGTTTATAGTTTCTTCTTTTTATTTGCATTGATTCAACAACTGGCTTTGTGTTGCTAGCGTATGAAACTGTTGCATGGCAAATTGTAATCATTGGTGGTCATTTAACTATACCTATTTTCATCGTCATGGATGCCTTAATACCTATTTTACAGCTATCTTAAAAGAATTTACTATTATAATTAATATATTATATAGTAAAATACAATTTGCTTAATAACTTTTTTGTTCCATTTAAAATTAATAAAAATGGAGAACCACAAGAGCAAAACTAATGGACATTGTAATGTATATCTGGCCAGGCGGCCACAACAATGCAGAAGATAGGCTTGTTGGGCACTCAACAGCTATGATGCTGAAATTCGAGCCCTAGGATTTCAAGTGGCCTCCACAAAAGGAATATCACATCTTTTGGTATATATATATATATATATATATATATATATATATATAAATAACACAGCATCAGTTGAATTTGCAAAAACAGATAAGTAACTCACAGCATTAGAGCTGTTGCATAGAAGCTATCTAAGATGACTGATATCCTCTTTTGAATCAATATGTTTTGTTCATATACCTAGATATTACAATCAAGCAGTCCACCTTTTTGCGTATGTACCGTGTAAGGGCCAACTTAGCCTACACTATAATACCTAAAACCCTAATCATGTAAGCTTCTCTATATAAAATGAATGGAGGAGGATCTTTCTTTGCCAAAAAAGTATCGTCAAGTTAGAATTCTTGAAAACAGCCAAACCTAAAACCACTATATAAGAAGTTGAAGAGTTATTAAAGTTTATTACATTTCCGACATTTCTCATGCTAGCATTAACCGATAAATGGGTATAAACAGAACCCTTATTCTTTATCATTACCGTTACTGACCTTTTTCTTGGTAAGTATTCTCTTAATGACCTTTCCCCATAAAACATGAGCGTTGATAACTAGAGAATGACTCCGTACTAAGTACGGGGTTAGTATTTTTTGATAATTTTTATTTTGTTTAAACAAAAAATGTCTAATTTTTTATTATTATTTCTTTATTTTTAATGATTATTTGTGTTGTAATATTTAGTTAATTAATTATTATTGTTATTATTAAGTATTTAATTAATGTTTTTATTATCATAATAATTATTATAATTAATTTTTTATTGAAAATTTAAAAAAGATTAATCAAAATGTAATATTTACTTAATTATTTAATTAAAGATTAATATTATTTTTAATTAGTAATGGTGATGATTATTTTCTTATATTTTTTTAGTATTCAGTATTTAATTACTGAATATTGTTGTTATAATAGATTTTCTAATTATACTAAATTCTGGTAATTTACATAACTTTAATGCACAATCAGTTTTTGAAGTTTACTAATTAGTTATAAAAAATTAAATTAAAAAAAAAACTAATATGGGTCTTATATCTTTGTAATTGACAATCTATTCTAACCAATTTTATTTGAAACCCACTATTGATTTATATTTTTTAATTTGATTCAAGATATTAAATGAGATCTTATTGGTAAACAATAACCCACTTTATTTGGTATTTATTATTTATCCAATAAATATATTTTGAGTTATTTATTTTTAAAAGTTAAATTAGGTTGCTTCCTAAAAAGTTTGTAATTAATAAAGTATTTTCTTTTTGAAAAAATCATTTAAAGACAAACGGGGACCCGTGCGATGCACGGGATTTATTAAGCAAAACTAAATAATAGAATGGGTCATTTACTAAAATACCCTTATAGTTTAATGGATTTACTAAAATCTACCATATAGTTAGCATTTTACTAAAACACCACTTATAATTTGCAGTGGATTTAATCAATCTTCCCTTGGATAATAGTGGAAAATGGTAGTGTTGACCCTAATGCTCATTTAAATAAATTTAGTCAAAAGAAAATAAAAATTAAAATACCATTTTTGCTCTTAATAAGACATGGGCAACCACTCTATTGGCTATATTTGGTCAATTTTGTTTTATATACAAAAAAAAGTGTTAAGAATATTTTTGGAATAAAAAATCATAGGCCTAATGACAAAACAAACACTCCTTAATAAGACACGGGCAACCACTCTATTGGCTATATTTGAGATGTTTTAGTAAAATAAAAACTATAAGGTAGGTTTAAGTAAATATGTAAAGTTATAAGGTGTGTTTCAGTAAATGACCCAAATAGAAACACATAAGAGTAGAGTTCACATCTGCGTCTCACAAGGGAGCACCCCACAACATCCCACAACACATCTCCACCATGTATTGGAAACATCTCCCAACGATAGTACCAGAACCGATGATGTCATCATTGGGAGATGTTCCTAATAAACGACGGGGATATGCTATGGAACGTTGTGGGGCGCAAATGTGAACTCATAAGAGTAAACGGTTGTTTTATATTTTCAACTTTTTAAATAATTAATAATTATTCATATTTTATAAAATACTTTTAATAAATTTTTTATAATACAAAAATAACAATAATTAATTTCAGTTAGGTTTGTTCATCAAACTGATGAAACCAATCAACCTAATCAACTCAACCCGAGTTGGTTGGTTTTCTAGTATTTTAGGTCAGTTTTGGTTCAAAAATTTCCTAATTCAACTAAGTTAGATCAGTTTCACTTTGGCCATTTGTAAACCGACCAAAATCGAATGACCTAACCATGGCTATATATTAATATTTTATATTTTAAATTTAATTTTTAATATAAAAATTTGGCAAATTTCTCATATTTCTTAGTCTAAAATGTTTTACATCACAAATATAATTTTTAAAATTAAAATTACATTTTTAAGTTTAAATCTTTTGAACCGACTAACCAAGCCAAAAAATCGACCCAATCCGATACAACTTGAGCGGGTCGATTTTTACAAAAGGTCAATCGGTTTTAGTTGACCAACTCCCCAACTTGAAAACATAATGACAATGAAAAAAATACAATAAGCACTACAAATATATCAACTTAGTCAATAAGTAGTATAATCTCGAATAATAGTTTAATCTCTAATAAATATTAATCAATAAGTTATAACAAAAATACAATAAGTACAATATATTAACTTTAAAAATTTCAATAATAGTAGTTTAATCTCCAATAATTATTGAAAGTTTTATGTTAAATAAAGAAACAAAATAAATTTATATATAATCATTGAAAATACATTTATCACAAAAAACAATAAATAATTACTGAAATACCATAAATATTAATTTTAGTATATATAATTATATAATAAATACAGATTAAGAGTTTAAAATTATTATTAATAAATATTAATTTATTTGAAAGTTATTTTCTTGTATTATTGTTTGATATAAGTGAAATTAGTTATTTACAATACTATATAAAAATATTAAATTATTATTAATTTTAATATTATGTTATAATTATTTTTCTACATTTCAGGATTTTTTTTTTTAAAATTTATTACATAATTTCTTTATTTTAACTATTTGAAATCTAGTTATGTTACATATCTTGCTATTTAAAATATTTAGTTATTTAAATACTTAAATAATATGTAAAATATTTAAAATTTAAAATATTAATTATTTATTTAATTTAATTATCCATAAAATCATAATTTATACTATTATTACATAATTTCGTTATTAATTTTGTAATATATTAAATTATTATTAATTTCAATATTATGTTATAATTATTATTTTTTACTTTGAAGATTTTTTCTAATGTATTACATAAATTTGTTATTTAACTATTTAATCTAGTTATGATAAGTATTCAGTTATTTAATTATTTAAATAATATATACAAAATTAAATTTTTTATTATTTGAATTTTATTTGTTTAATGCTATTATATATTATTAAATATTTGAAAAACATTTAAATTGATAATCTGGAAAAACATAATTTAATTTTTTAGTACATAATTTCGTGATATATTTTGTAAAAATATAAAATTATTTTTGTGTTTTTAATAAATATTTTAAAGTTATTATATAATTTTGTTAGAATACTTAAATAATAATTAATTTTTTATCCAAAATTTTTTTAGATAGATATAGATAAAAAGTAGGGGAGGGGATAAATAGGATTTAGAGATAATTTAGGAGAGAAACTCTCTACTAAATTAGAAATAATTTTGGAGATAAATAGGAATTAGAGATAATTTAGAAGATAAAAATGAGTTAGAGATAATTTTGAAAAAAGTGGGGGAGATAGTTTAGGAGAAATTTTAGGAGAAGAGATTATTTAAGTTATTAGGAAAGTGCATCTCATTAGTTACCCATGTATTTTAATATATATAGGTGGTAGTGGGATGTGGTTTAGCAACAACTTATCTGAAAATGCTAGGTATCTAGCTTTCCATAAAAATGAGAAGGCCACATGATGGTGGAGGRCTATAGCCTTGCAGTGGGTTGTAGGCTTTATTAAGAATTTCTCATAAATTGCCACTTGTCGATRTTTTCAAAAAATGACAAGGCAATTTATCTAAATGATGATATTGTATTATAGAATTTAATATCAACTTCTCATAAAATGCCACATAAAACCTTCTTTTATTATCAAATTCTTTAACTTGATAATAATACATGATTTAATAATACAAAAATAATCATGTACTAATTTGTAACCTTAAGTTATAAAAAAAGAATTATATGTTTAAATCGAATTCACAGCTCTGACCGAACCAAGCTCGACTTCAAGATTCTAGCTTGAAACGAACTCGAGATATATATTTGGGCTAAATGACTGAAAGGTTTCGCGTGGCACCGGTAAAGCGACGGTCCAAATCGCATACATTTGGACGATCGAGAGCGATGGTATGGCAATTCTGAACCCATCATCATCTTCGTCGTTGTCTCGTTGATAAGATCCGCTCTCATCGTTTACGGCATTGACAGAAACATGTGTAGTTCAGAAATGCAGACACCCCTTCGGCCCTTCTCCTCGTCACCCTATTTCAACAAAGTTTTACAGAAGCTCTCTTCACTAGCAATTCCACGTACTGGAGAGTGGAGATCGAGAAAGTACACTCTGTGAGCAGAGAAAAACAGAGTGCAAGAAAGAAACTTGACGTCCTAACCATGGCAACCATACATGTATGTAGCGAAAGCCGCTCTCCTCAAAGCTTCAAGGCCGGAGAACCCTTCTGTTTCTTTTCGATCTCTTCCAACCCGTAAATTCTCGAGGGCGCTTCTGCTACCAATCACCCAAAGCCAAAGGTAATTAAGCGTACTTCGTTAGTTCTCATTACTCTTGCTTTAATTCGCTTCTGTGTGAAATAGTGGTTGTTTGATGGATTGAGTTCCGGGGTCGTAATGCAGCGGATGAAATGAGAGAATCAGGTTTTAAATACATGGCCAACAAAGGCAACAGATCCACGAGGGAAGCAGGGAACAACAATCTCGGCATGGACAAAGCAAAGGAGTAGTACACAAATGAGATGAAAGACACAGCGAGTGGTAATTGCTGGGAGCAAGGAAGGAACGGAGAGGACGACGGGAACTGCGCAGGACATGACGAACAACCGGGYAGCGGGAACTACAGAGGAGGTTACGATTTACGAACAAGGCGGCGATAATATGGGGTCGATGGCCGATAAGGCGAGGCAAACCATGTTCCATGTAGCCTGTAGGGTGCATAGGAAGCGGCCAAGGAGACGAGACGACCTAGAAGATCAGTCGGGGCTTGTGGATCCTTCAGAATTGGAATGAACGGACGGTCCAGATTGATTCAAAAGGACGTGTTAATGGTTGTCTGTATTTTAGCACGTTGGTTGATGGGGTTGCGTGAAAGTACAGGTGTCTGTCTCTCTCTGAGTCTGAGTGCGAGGACACACACTGATAGGAAAAGCTGATAACGGCGAGAGGAGTGAAGCCCGGCATCTAGTCCTTATGGCCGTTGACAGAGGTACCTTTGAAACCCTAGCTCCTTCCCGTTTCATTTGCTTCTCTATCCCAAACCCCCTTYCGACCAGAACTGTACATAGTCTCTATGGCGACTTTCTACGAATTGCCGTCCTCGATTCCCCTGTACAAATCCCCGGTTCACCTCAAATTGCCGCGATGCTAGTTCCGAAGGATCGCGAGGAAGATTGGATCTTCTCTACCGAGACAGGTCACCTCCAACTCCTCCTTAGCTGCCCTGGAATTTCTCGTTTAATACTCGCCGGAAATCCTCCTTGCGGCGGCGATTATTTTCCTCCGGGTTACAACCGTCCGGCATGTGACCTTACAAAATATCGGGCGAAATTCGAGGAGAGTTTAACTCCGCTTCTCCTCGCCTTATCGCCCAAGGCATGCTTTATAAATTGTCTCCCTCAAATACCATTTGTAGCGTATGAAGATAACGTTATTCGTAGCTTACTGGTCGAGAGATGCGTTGGCTGTTGTGCCGGCGAAATGTTAGTTGAAGACGTTGAAATTGAACACCGCGATGTGTCGGATAGGTCACCGACGCGAGAGTTTCGGAGGAGATTGCGTTTTAAACGAATACCGAATTTGATACAAACCGAAGTACGGATCACTCCCGATCCGGAAGCTGATTCTACTAATATCGGCTTGGATGAAGTAAAGTTTCGTCCAGAAACCGGTATTTTGGTTCATCCTTACCTGGCCCCAATGGTGGCAAGTCTATCTTTGATTGCTCCATATCTTGAGGAGCGTGTTCAGTCGGGCTCCAAGCCTCGGGTTCTCTGTGTTGGTGTAGGGGGTGGGGCCTTACTTACATTCTTGAATACCCATTTCGGGTTTGAAGTAATGGGGGTGGAGGCGGATGAAACGGTTCTGAGAATTGCAAGGCAACACTTTGGGTTAGTGGATGGTGAATTCCTCCGGGTTCATGTGGGAGATGGAATTGAAGTCATGGAGAAATTTGCCTGCCAAGTTGTCCATCAGAATTCAGGTTCTGCTGCTATGGTTGATATACAAAGTGATCAATGCTTGGATATTTTTGATGGGCGTTATACTTTAATGGATGTAATTATGGTTGATCTGGATTCAAGTGACATAAAAAATGGCATTACTGCCCCACCATTGCAATTTGTAGGAAAGAAGGTTCTTTTGGCTGTTAAATCAATTCTTCACAAGCTTGGTATTCTTGTGATAAATGTGATTCCTYCGTCTAGACCGTTCTATGACTGGTTGGTCCATGAATTTCGGGAGATTTTCGCAGAATTGTATGAAATAGATGTTGGTAATGGTGAAAATTATGTTCTAATTGCTGCTGCCTCGCCTATTGGTATTGTTATGAAAGGCCAGGGAGATCTCATTCTTAAGAAGTTGAAGCTGGTCCTTGCAGGAGCATACATGGATTCTATAAAGAAAATATGAAGGTCAATTATCTGTGGAACTGTGAGTTCCTATCTTGCCTATTGGGATTGTTTTGAAAGGCTAGGGGGTTTGTTAAGAAGTTGAAGACAGTCATTGAAGGAAATTGCATGGTTTTTATAAGGAAAATATGAAGGACAATTATCAATAGAACCTTGGTGCATGGTTTTCATTGCAGAAAATGCTGCACTCAGAGTCAGGAAGCAGGAGATAGTGAACCAACAGAAGGTGTTTACTTGAGATTCAAAAAATCTTAGTGCACTTGTTTCGCATGAGACACAATCTGAAGTGGAAGAAGAGATCGTTCTCTCTGGCTCAATGTTTTGGTTTCTTTTTCAAGGTTTGGTTAATTGTCTTTATTCAAAACCCAGCAGAAGGTGGTGCCCAGGATGTGGAGGGAGATGAACATCTCCAGTCAGTAGTTCAATGCATGCTATGGGTATCGTTTCATTGCAAAATATCTCTTCATATGCATGAATCTGCCAGGTAATGCTTAGTATTTTGTAATTCATTTCATTTATTATTTCTTAGATTGTCCTTGCATGGGGATATTCCAAGATAAACATACTTCAAGATTTAGACATCTAGACCCTATGTACGTTTGTACCATAAGGCAATCTTAACCTATATGAACAATTTCAGTTTCTAAAGTTGCGGCTGAACATTTTATTCCATAAGCTCTTATTGTTTCTTCCCTTTTGTCTTAAAGAGGACCTGCTGAATGAATCATGTGATTGCATTTAAGAGTGACTTATTTCAAGCTTTTTCAGATATTCCAGCCCTCTCTGATGGATTGATGGTTCAGCAGTATGTATTATACAGTACTGTGAACAATCTAAGGTTTCATATTTGTGTATAAACTCTTGTACAGCTGTTTCACCTTAATGATTTGTGGCCTTTTAATTTGTTGTCATCAATTATTATTTTAAGTATTATAGCTTTTTATTGATAAAAAAAGTGCCATAGCTTTTTTACTTGCTATTTGTTTTCACAAGAAAGTGTGTGGCTGTGGATTTCTCTGAGGCCCTTAAGATAAGTGTCTGGTACAACAAAACTAATATGTCCTTTTGGATCTGTATTTCTGTTTTTTTTTTTTTTTTAAGCCTCTAAACAAGTTTTTAGTTGCCTTTGTCAACATATCGACGTAGTTTCCATCAGCAGTAGAAGGTGGCCTTGAAGCCTTTACTAACTTCACTCATTTTAATGTCATGGTAGCATTATGAATATCAGTGGATCTTAATTGGCTGAAGTGGTGCTTATCCATACCATGGTCAAGGAATCTGTGCTAGAATGCCACAAGTGGCACTTTACTCCATTAGCAAGATGGTGAGAGAGGGTTTTTAGTGCAGGCTTGATGGATCTTTTCCTTTTTATGTTATGCTTTATTAGTCAGCAACAAAAGAGCATACAGGCTGAGGATCTTACATAATAAGTACAAAATGGTATATAAAACTAAACCCTAGACGATATGCCTCCAACACAATGAACTTCTCCCCACTTGTTTACTAGGCTGTCAGCCAATGGGTTTGTTGATTGTGAAATCCATCTGAACAAGCTATTAATCCATGGTGCAGCAATCAAAGGTTGATTTTGATCTTTACATATTTAATCCTTTTTTCTTTCTTTGCCCTTTCTTTTGATGTTTTAGTACTCTTGGCTAGATGCTAGTAACCATGTTACCAAGAACCTGGGTCACTCACATAGAAGCCTGGTAGTGTTACAGTACTCTCTCTGTCCCACAAATATTATTTTCTTTGGAAAAGCTCCAGATTTTAAGAAGACATCTTTGAAGCATTGTCTCCTCATTTATCAAATTTGTTTTCCAATGTTACCATTCATTGTTTAGTGTTTAAATAGAATATATATATATATATATATATATATATATATATATAGAATTCTATTTTCTTATTTTGTTTGTATTTTATGGATCTACTGCTAATATTTACATTATTTAATTTAGGCAGTTTTATCATGGCAAAAAGGCAGATTGCGGTTTGGGTCCTTTATCTCTAGGGATAACCTGAATTTGAAATCTAGAATACTCTTTTGGTGCATAGAAGTGGGTATGAATAGGTTCTTCACAATGATTAATGCATGTTTTCTGTATTACTTACCGCCTGAAGCAGGACTTCTTTCAGCTTTCACCCTCCATCCTAGTCTAACCTATGCCCCTGCTCAAAATTGGATGACCTAATTAATAAAATGCTGAGTTATTGATCAAAAAAAAAAATGGATGACCAAATCTAATAATGACACAACTGCTTTGACATCTGCACTTGAGATTGCCTTAGTTCAATTATAGTTTCTGTTGACTTTGTGTATTTAAGTGCCCTTTGTTCAACTAAGCTTTTGTCTCTGTTGGGCACTTTTTTCTTGGAAGTGCTCTAAACCTTACGTTAATTTGCGTAGTTTAATTTTAGTACCTTATCCAAGTCTCTAAAGTGCCTAGATGCCATTGCTTGGTATAACAGTAAAATCTTTGGCTGACAATCATGAGAATGTGGATTCAAGTATGAGAGCTGTCGCTTTGTGCCAAAAAAAAAAAGTTTAGGATTGTATCTAGTCAACCCTACTCAGGACCCCAGATGGCTGGACCAACACCGAGTAATGGCCTTTTCTATGCAGCTAAAGTGCCTGGAGAGGGTGCTATTGTAGTTTGCATGGTCTTTATTCAAGAAAAATAAAATAATGACTTGAATAGAAGAGAATTGAACATCTCCTTTTAATAGAATTAGACTTAGTAGTATCATTAAATATATGGAAAAGTTTTAGCACCAGCTGCCAACCTGACACAACCATTCTCCTTCATTTGGGCTTGGGATGTGGTGTAAGACAGCTCACACTAGTGGATTTTGGTAAAAGTTTATGGACAACTGCATTAGAAACAAGAGGTTTTAAAATATGTAGGAATAAAACAGAATATATACACTGTAAATTTAACAATAATAGAATTGCAAAACAGGGTACAATTAGGATTGGAGACCAAGAAATAACTCAATTAGAGCAGGATGGGCAAAATGTTAATGCCACTTAGGCTTATGTGACAGGTGAATACCACTTAGGCTGAAAGGAAAATTCTATAAAACAGCTATAAGTCCAGTTGTGTTTTATGGAGCAGTGTTGGGAAGTTAAGAAACAACATGTCTAAAATATAAGTGTAGCAGAAATGTGAATGCTTAGATGAATGAGTGATAAAACTAGCAAAGACAAGGTTAGAAATCAAGCCATATGAAGGAACCTAGGAGTAGCTCCAACAGGTAATAAAATGAGAGAAAGTAGATTGAGACGATTAGGTCATGTGCCCAGAAGACCATCTATAGCACCTGTTAGGAAAAATGATCAGTTACAAATTGAAGGTTAGAAAAGCTAGGGCCAGAATGAAGGGACTTGGGTGGAAATAAGAAATGTTTTGAGCAAAGTTGTAAGAGTATAAGATGGGGGAGATAAATTCTTGTCTCCTCCCTATATTTGTATACTTCTAACCCATAATTCTTCTTTTTAATAGAATTTGGTTGTTATTGATAAAAAAAAATAAATGATTTAAGCACTCATAATTTAACAATGGATATGGCACTGAAATAAATGGTGAAACAGGATTCACCCCATATAGTTGAACAAGGCTTAGATGATCATCATTGTTATTCATATAGGATAAAATGTATGTTTCTGAACATAAAAGCAAACCACAGGAATCATTCAAAGTTAATGGAACTTATCTACTTGCTACAAAATTTTCAAAACATCCTCTTGAATTATGGATATTATACTTGCTGCAATTCATGGAGTAATGCTGTTTATGTTTAGTGGAATTACTTGCTTGTTACATTCATCCGTGTGCTCTATAAATGAAAAATACACCCTCCTATTAAGAAATTTCAAATATCTAATTGTTCATTTTGCAGCAAGTACAGAGTCGGCTGGCAGAGCCATGGAGCTGTTTTTAAGTAAAATTAATTGTGTTCCAATCTTTTAACTCTGTCTAGCATGAAAATCTCGATTTGGGTGTGGTCCAAAACTCTGTTTGCACATAAAAAGGGCAGCCCAGTGCACAAGKYACCGGCCAATTCTGGGTTTGTGGAGGGAACAGATGTACACAGCCTTATCCCTGCACATACAGATAGGCTGTTTCCAAGATTTGAACCCTGGCCACATAGGTCGCAGTTGAAGCAACCCAACGTTGCGCCAAGGCCCACCCTCCAATAGTCCAATGTGCACACATCATATTGTAAATTCTTCCCGTGGAGAGTACCAGTGACCTTCCAATGATGCGTGGCTTATTTGTCAAGTTAGAAYCTATTGGCTAGGAAAATTTCACATGTTTAGATATTTAGCTCCATATGGAAGCTTCTTCTAACATAGGCAAAATGGGTATGTGGTAGAATATCTATGCCAACATGCATTTTATTTTGCATGTCACCTTTTGTTTCTAAAGGCTCAATTTGAAAAGAGTGTACAATGCAATTTTAGAAGGAATGCTCTAAATTACAGTCATAAAATATTATGGATTGTTGTGTCTGAATTTTAGAAGGAATGCTCTAAATTACAGTCATAAAATGTCATGGAGTGTTTGTGTCTGAATTTTAGAAGGAATGCTAGCATAGCAACTCCGACAGTGTGAAATCCTTTAAATTCACAAAAGGGCAATACTTGAAAGAGAGATTTGTGCAAATATATGGGGTTAGTGGATGCTTAGTTCTGTAAGTTTGGAATTATGACAGTTCCTCTCTAGTGGTACTTTTATCATCCTTGTTAAGAAAACAGTCTTAAAGTTTTTATGTTGAGTAACAAAAGATAATTCAACACTCGTATCCATGCGGGAATTTAAAATAATTTTATCGTGATGAAGCAAGAGCATTCACCCTGTGGTGGTCTGATTAAGGCTTCTTAATGTAAATAGTTGCATTAATACTTATAAATTATAATATCCTCTTGTTGAGTTTCTCGTCTACCTCTCTCTCTCTCTCTCTCTCTCTCTCTCTCTCAATTCTATTTCTTTCTTCTCTCCCCCTCTCTCCTCACGTTTCTCTTTTCTCTTTCCTCATGTTTCTTCCCTCCCTCCACTCTTTTTTAGTCTCTCCTCCTTTCTGTCACTTTTTCTTTTTGATTAAGTTCAATTTCTAGTGGTGTGTGGCACCATATGAGAAACCCCAAGTTTTTTTCCTTATTAAAAATTCATCTAAAAGATGATCTATTGCAAGTAAGTTCAAGGATCACAAAGATCCCTTTGGTTAAGAATTTGAAATATGAAGTGCCAAATGCCTAGATTGTTTCAAAGAATTTGAAAAATTAAGAACTCATTCTCTTCAAAAATAATGAATTCTTAGAATTTTCTAGAATTGATGCCAAACAGGGCCTAAATCTCAAATTTTGAAAGAAAACTAAAAAAAATAAAGCGTATGGTGCAAATGCTCACTTTGGAAAGAGTACAAATACAAATATGCGGAGTGTAAAAACTTGTATTTTTTATTATTTTGTATGTATTTGCACTATACATATTTGTATTTGTACTCTTTTCAAACTAAGCCTAATGAATTTCGGGTCATATATATACATTAATAGTTGTACAATATATTTTGTATATATTTTAGAATTTTAGATTGTCAAGGGTGACCTATTAGTCAAGTGTGCTATTGGTTCTTGAATCTCT